CTCCCCCTCCCCAGAAATCGCTCTGGTTAAAGGCACCAGTGACCTCAGCGGTCCTAACCCAAAGGCAAAGACCCCTTCTCGGGCCTCACCCCACCTGCCCTCTCGTCTCATGCTTCCTCCTTCCTGACACCCTTTCCCGGCCCTTCCCGACGTGTCCCCGCTCTATGGCTCCATGGCTCTATGGCTCTGGCCTGCTGCCTCCATCTCTTCTCCCTGCCCCGCTCGGTCCTGGGCTCCCTGTCTGTGCTTACTCCCTTCTGACCTCTGGCACTTTACTAGGTGCCCCTGTCCCTGTGGCACCGCAGCACACAGGCCTGGCCCAGGACGCCCAGGAGCCCTGGCTTCCACCTCCAGCTCCAGCGACGCATCTCCACCCTGGACTTCTGATCTGCACCACCACGTGCTTCCCCACTCCAACCCTCAGGGGCTCAGGACAAGAACAGGGAGCCCTCTGTGACTCCGAGAGGGGAAAATAGTGCACACCTCACCCCGAGTCCTCCGTCTCTCCCTCCATTGGGTCATCTCCAACGAGCAACTTTTCTTGGGTTGAATTGATTTGGACGTGATTCAAAAACAGCGGTTTATAGTGAAAAGTCTGTCTATCGCCTAGACTCCAGTGCCCTCCCCATCCCAAGCAATTCTGAATTATTTTATACAAATATTACATTTACTACACTCCTTTTTTAAAAAAATAAATAAATAAACACAGCATCCTGCACAGTCTGGCTTTCTTTTTCGCTTCACATCAAATGACCTCCCCTTCTTTTTCCACCGCGGCCTCCAGGTGCTTATCCCAGCCCTGTCCTCCGCGGGGCGTCCTTCCGTCTAGGCCGGCGCCCCCGGCCGCATTTAGTAGAGAGCCCTGGAAACCCTCGGGACGCTGTCCGCGGGGGGTTGCAACTTCTGGGGTATCGTGCTCCCCAGAGACCGTCAATGTGCACAAGCCCTGCACGACGAAACTGCTAAGGGAGAGTAGGAAGGGACGTGGAGTCGAGTAGGGGATGTAGCTCAGCGGTAGAGCGCATGCTTTGCATGTATGAGGCCCCGGGTTCGATCCCCGGCATCTCCAGCGCGGGCCGCGCTTTTTTTGACTTTGTCTCCCAAATCCCCAAACCCAATGTATTCCCAGGTCCAGGGAAAATCTCAGACTCTGGTGTTTCCTTTTTTAAAAAAATTTATTGGGGTGACACTGGTTAATAAAATTATATAGTTTCAGGTGTACAATTCTATACTATGTCCCCTGTATATTCTATGGTGTGTTCACCGGCCCCGGATCGTGGCGTTTTGCCCACGTTGGAGGTGTCGGCTGCGGCCCCCGCCTCTCCCATCCCCTGACGCTGCCTTTTGACTCCAGATTAAAACATTACAGGGTGATGGGGCCACTGGCATCGTCCTGCGCGCGTATTCCCTTCGCACCGTGAGCTTCACGGGGGTGGAAAAGGGCAGGTTCCTGGCAAAGGACAAGCAGGAAACTGACGGCAGGGGGAGGGACGGGCGGGCACAATCCTTCGAGTTTGTTTCCGAGCTCCCCTCCGGCTGGATGCAGGCCTAAGCCCAGAGTGAGGCAATAATTATTGACTGGAGATATCGCCGGACGTTCCCACCGCGCCCGGCTAGCTCAGTCGGTAGAGCATGAGACTCTTAATCTCAGGGTCGTGGGTTCGAGCCCCACGTTGGGCGAACGGGTGGTTTTTGTTTTCATACATTGCCTGACAGCTTGGAAAACCGAAGCAACCCTGTAATGGACATTTCCTGTGTGCAATATTTGTTTACGCTTTTTATGGCTACACTCTTGTTCATTATTTATCTATCCTGTTTACCTGGACAAAATGAGTTCTTAAAAAATTGTGTAAAATATGCATAACAAAATTTGCCATTTTAACCATTTTTAAGTGTACAGTTCTGCAACTTTACACACATTCATGTTGTTGTTGTTGTGTAACCATCACCACAATCCATCTCCAGAACTTTGACATCTTCCCCAACTGAATCCCTGGACCCAGTAAAATTATGTCCCAGTCTCTCCTTGCCCAGCTCCTGGCATTGTACTTTTTGCTCCTATGAGTTTGCCTACTCTAGGTATCTCAGATAAGAAAAATCATACAATATCTGTCCATTTGTGACTGGATTACTTCACTTAGCATAATGTCTTCAAGGTTCATTCCTGTTGTAGCATGTGTCAAAACTTCCTTTCTTTTAAGGCTGAAAAAGAATCCATTGTATGCAGATAATACATTTTGTTTACCCACTCATCTTTCAATAGACACGTGAGCTCGTTCGTCTTTCGGCTTGTGAATAATGCTGCTATGAACTCGGGTGTACAAATATCCATTTGAATTTCTGCTTTCACTTATTTTGGCTCTATACTAGAAGTGGACATATTTTATTTCCCTTTACTTACACAAAAATATAATTACAGCTCTGTTATAGCTTGAAGATCTTCCTATCTCAAGACATATAAAATGTCCTTAATCTCTTTTTGCAGCCTCATACTATTCTACTGTAGATGAATCATAGTTTATTTAACACATCACCTGCTGATGGACATTTATGTTGTTTCCAATCTCTTGTTATTACAATTAATGCTGCAGGTAGTAAGCATATACCATTGTCATTTTTCACTTTTGCATTCATATCTGCAGGGCACATTCCCAGAGGTGAGATTACTGGATCAATGTATAGATGCTATTGTAATTGATAAAAATAGGCAAATCACCCAGTTGTGGATCCTACCAGCTGATATTCCCTCCCATCAGCCATGAATGAGATTGCCTATTTCTCCACTGCTGTGGTAGCAATGGGCTGCTTTAGCAAAAAAATAAAAATAAAAATAACTAAACATCTGGCTCCCTCTTCCCCCACACCCTTAAAAGGGCCAGGGCTCCTCACTGCCTGTCTGGCAGGATGATACCCATGGCAGGGCCTGCAGGGCACCGCCTGGCAGGGAAAAGAACTCTCCTCTTGCCTCTCACAGGAGCACACTCAGACAAAAGGTTCTGCAGGTCACAGTGTCACTCTGGTTTATGGTTCATAATCTCATAGTTTTTCTTCTCTTCTCAGGCCTGTTTCTTTAGAGGCCATCATGTTTCCTTCTCTTGCAAAGCCACAACCTCATTGGAAAGGGTTATTCAGTTATTTTTTACTCTGCAGATCTTCTTCCTTGGACAGGAAGAATCCAACCAGATGTAAGAAATTAAGTTTGTAAATGATTTTTTTACTGGCTGGTGTCACATACATGTAGTTTGTGCAGTGGTCTTATAATAATGATTATATACAATTTATATAGAAATTATTCATCAACCATCCACTTGAATATTTTCATCTTAAAATATCATCTCCAATTTTAATATGTTTGTGCGTATTTTCTAACGAGTCTAAAAATATTCCAGTCTCAGGTCTTTCTTAAATAGTCCCTGGTTCCCCTTTATCAGACTTCACCAAGTCATTCTCCCAGGATCTGTGAGGCATTGGGAGAAATGGCCCAGCCCACGTCAAATGCTCACCCCGTTATTTCACTGCCATGTATATCACGTCACATGGGTTTCAGGGTACAAGTCCCCAGATAAGAGACAGGTCTCAATCACATGCTGGTGTCCTGGGGAGTGTGACTTTTGGGTAAGGAGGAAGACAAACTGTCAACCAGAGCCACCTGCTGCAAAAACAGGAAGAGTGGCCAAAAAGATGACCCCAAATGACCTGCTCCTCCATTCTGTTTCAGGACCAACTGGCTTAAAATAACTGGATATTTTGGGAAACTCTTTCTGTTGTTATTTGAGATGTTTGGTGTCTAAGGGCAAGGAGGGAGGTGCTTTAATATGGAGAAGAATGCACACTTGTTTTGTGATGACTATTCAATGCATTGCAGTTGTAAAGGTTAAAGTCTAGTTACTCTTAAGGTTATAAACCAACTTACAAATATTATTGTTTTTCTTATAAACTAGCAATATTTTAAAGAATCCTTTCATTAAGTGTCATCTTGAACATCTAAGCCATTGGTGCTATTCGCATGGCCATTTCAAGTGACAATTATAGATTTATGTATTGGAACCCTCATTAGTGAGAGAA